GGACCTTTCAGTCCGAAGACCGATGCTCTACCACTGAGCCAAACCGGTTTTGGCTGCATGTTTTCTTTGTCTCAAGGCAAAGTCCTTGTTGTATTTTTTTTTTTAAGTGTATATTTACTGATCAGAGAGGAACGAAGAGGGAGAGAGAAACATCCATGATGGGAGAGAATGATGGATAGGATCTAGACCATGGAGTTAGACAGCCGTGCTCACTCTTGGATTGCAGGTCTGACCCTCACCGTGGGTGCAAATCACTTATCTTTTGACTGGAGGCCCGGTGCATGCAATTTGTGCATGGTGTGTGTGTGTGTGTGTGTGTGTGTGTGTGTGTGTGTGTATAGAGGGGTTTCCTCGGCCTGGCCTGCACTCTCTTGCAATCCGGGGACCCCAAAATCCGGGATCCCTGGCTCCTAACCACTCACCTGCCTGCCTGATGGCCCCTAACTGCTCGCCTGCCTGCCTGATCACCCCTAACTGCTCACCTGCCTGCCTGATCACCCCTCACCGCCTCTGCCTCGGCCCCCGCTGCTGCTGCTTCATCAGGAAAGATGACCAGAATGATATCCAGAAGGTCGTTCGGCTGTCTGGTCTAATTAGCATATTAGGCTTTTATTATTATACAATAGATACCTCCGTTTTAAAAAGGATGACAAGATGAGAGAAGGTATGCTTGAAGTATCTTCTTGAAACATCCATAGTCAAATAAACCAAGGCGTCCCGTTATCCCTAACCTTTTAGAATTGTGACGTCTTCTCATTTTTACCCCGTCCCCTCCCTAGTGAACGTCGGTGTGGGAGAGTTCCATGTGTAAGTAAGCCGATGGGAGAAGGTTTACCCTTTTAATATTCTCCGGGAAGTCCGTCCACCGCTTTGTCAGCCTCTCTCTTCCTTTGGCGGGACCGTGCTGAGCGTCGTCAGTAGAAGCTAAGCCCTCCTTCTGCCAGGGAATTGCCTGTTGGCGGCTCTTTCCACGCAGGCAGGCAGGCAGGGAGGAGGATCCTGGCCCCGGGCGGCTGCTCCCTCCCTTCGCGGTCTCCGCTCGCTCCCTCGCAGGCCGAGCGCCTGTGTGCCCTCCATCTCTCCTCAGTCTGCCGTTTTCACTCCGCTCTTTAGGATCTGACGCAGGAAAGTAGGTAACCTACATCGAGACCCCACGTTTCCCTCCCGCGGAGTCCTGTGTGCACGGAGGCTGGCGCTCCTGCGATTCTACTGGCCCTGATTCTTTTTATTTTATTTTTTATTTTACTGATTTTTTTTTACAGAGACGAAAGGAGAGGGATAGAGAGCTAGAAACATCCATGAGAGAGAAACATCCATCAGCTGCCTCCTGCACACCCCCCACTGGGGACGTGCCCGCAGCCAAGGTATGATACATGCCCTTGACCGGAATCGAACCCGGGACCCTTCAGCCTGCAGGTCGACGCTCTACCCACTAAGCCACACCGGTCGGGGCTATTTGCCCTGATTCTTAGACCCTCCACAGAGCCTTTATCTGCTCCACGTGCACAGGTCTCTTTGATATCCCAATGCAGCCCTAGCTAGTGTGGCTCAATGGATAGAGCTTCGGCCCGGGGACTAAAGGGTCCCGGGTTGCAGGCTCCTCCCCGGCTCAGGGCCCTGGTCGGTGTACATGCAGGAGGCAACCAATCCACGTGTCTCTCCCACATGGATGTTTCTCTCTGTCTTTCCCTCTCTCTTTCCCTCTCTCTGAAAACCAATGGGAAAATATCTGTGGGTCAGGATTTAAAAAGAAAAGAAAAATTATTTAAATAGCCCAATGCTTTCTGTGTGCTCGGGAGGCAGGCTGCAGGGAGAGGTCAAACGAGGGGAAAGTATTTCTAACACAGCGAACTTGCAGTTTGGAAAACAGTGGAATTGTCTCAGAAAACGCCGCTATTGCTTAGAAGAAGGCTCTCGTACCTTTTTAAAAGTTCTACTTTTATTTTTATTTTTATGGATTTCAGAGAGGAAGGGAGAGAGAGAGAGAGAGAAACAGCCAAGATGAGAGAGAATCCTGCATCGGCTGCCTGCTGCATGCCGCCCCACCCTGGGGATGGAGCCCACAACCCGGGCCTGTGCCCTGACCGGGAGTCGAACCGTGACCCCCTGGTTCCTAGGCCGACGCTCAACCACTGAGCCGCACTGGCTGGGCCAGGTTTGGTTCTTAGGCATCTGACGCTCTCACCGGGGAAGCCCACGGGAACCTGAGCGAGGAGGTCAGATCTGTTCTTGCTTTTGAGCTGCTGCTTGGCCAGGATCATCCCAAATGGCTTCCCTTTTGTTTGTACGGCCTGGCCGTGACTTCTGAGTGCATTCTTTTAAATCTTAGACACCGGAGCTGGCGAGGGCGAGGGCGGCTGCTCCGACTCCCAGCAGGGAGTGCTCCCCATAGGATATTTCCTTTAGTGCTCCAGTCACATCGCAGCATCTGAGCCTCCTGGTTAAAAGCCGGTCTCCACCCTCTGCCTCTGCCACCCTGCATGGGTGTGTGTGTGTGTGTGTGTGTGTGTGTGTCTGCTCTGCCTGCCTGCCTGCCTGCCCGCGCAGGACCCAGTGGGAGCTTGCTGGCTGCAGCCAGCCAGCCGCCCTGGCAACCTTGACTGTGAATGGCAAACATGACCAGGATCCTCTCTCCTGCCAGGCCCCGGGGCCTCGGGCGGGCGGGAGGAGGGCAGAGCCGAGCCTACGTGACTCAACCGTGCCCACTTCCTCTTTCATAAGCCGTCACATGACGAGCTGCCATCACAATTACCGCCTTGTCTGTGTGCGGATTGCAGACGCATTGCCTCACCCCAGAAACCCCGGCGCTGGGCTCTGGGGAGGTGAGGAGGCGGAGGCGGTGCTGCAGAAGGCGCTGGAAGGGATCCAGGCCCGCCGAGCTGGGAGGGAAGGAGGGAGGGAGGGAGAGAGGGCGGGGGTGGGAGACGAAAACAAAGCTGTGTTTACTTAGCACACATGACAGAGCCGCGCTGAGCAGACATGAAAGGCCGGGCCTGAGCAGGAAAAGGCTCCGTACAATCTCGCTGCTCTGCCCGGGGTCGGGCCTGCTGCAGGCCTTAACCCCCTTGATCCCGGATCCTTTTATGGCCCGGGGACGCCATAAAACCCGCCTTCCCATGTTCCCGAGAGCCCCGCGTTAGGGAAGTCACATGGATTCGGTTTCGACATTGGGGGAGCGGGGGTGGGGGAGGAGGAGGGGGCACGGGGTGTCGGACAAAAAGGAACTGCTCTCCACGCGGAGAAGAGAAGCCGTTGGTTGGGACAGAAATCCGTCCTCGGCACCTTTCTAGGGCAGAGCTGGCCTCTCCCTGCTCCCACATGGGGCTTGGGGTCCCTGGAGGGTATGAGGGCTGCTCGCAGGTCAAGGTGCATAAAATAAGGCCACGGCTCTAACGCCTCATTCTGTCATGTTTCGGGCACTGCCTAGCGGGGCCAGCTCTTTGGGGTGCTGAGCGGTTCACCTCCCTGCAAGGGGAAGATTAGGCCTGATCGGCTTTGGGCAGTTGCACGCCCCCTACAAATCCCCCCTCACCCCTGGGGCCAGGTTCTGGGGTGAGGCCATGCCTCTTGGTGGAGGAGAGTGAGCCAAGAAAGGGACAGGTCCCGAAAGAGGTGCCGTAGCAGGGACCAGGCGTGCCCAAGCCCACGCTGTCCCCAGCTGCCCCCCCCCCCACCAGCCAGGAGGAGAGGGCAGGATCTGGAAGGGAGGGGAAGGCCTCTCTGGGGGCCCCCCTTCTCTGGAAATCCCCGGGAGAGAGAGCAGAGGCGCAGCGTTAGTTTGCACACATTTAGGGCTGGCACTGCGTCTCCTGGGCCACCGCGAACAGGTTTTTTCATGCGCCGTAAGCAGCTCCCTGCACTATTGTTTTTCCAAGCGTGTTTTTCCTCTTCCTGGTGCTTAATCCTTTGAAGCAACCTGCCATTTTCAACAGCAACTTGGGGAGAAACGTCAGCAGGATCTCTCTCTCTCTCTCTCTGTCTCCCCCCGCCTACCAATCCGGTGGAAGGAGCGATGATATAATTAGCACCCTGTTCTTCCCACACCTCACCCGCTCTGCTCATGCCAGGCCCCGGGAGCCACGCGGGCCTGTTTTTTCCAACCAAAGCGGCTGCAGAGGCCAGCCGGCCTTGCAGAGTTGCAAGTGTCAGAATTCCAGCAGCCGAGAGTGACTAAGCCTGGGCCTATTAGTCAGGGAGGGAACGACCCGCCAAAGTGATTGACTGGAGCACGCGCCAGCTCCTCCCCGCGAGGCAGGGGCGAAACTCCGGAGCTCGGTGCATGCAGCCCGGTCAGCAGAGCTGCAGCTGCCAACCCTGGCGGGGACGCGGGGAACGGGGGGTGGGGGGGGGGGGGTGTAGTGAGCCAGTGGTTCACGGCAGGCGCCGACACCCCAACGGGCTACAGCTGGGCCCTGGGGGTGTGCACATCCGCTCCGCCCCAGACCCCACGGCCCGCATGGGCACCCCAACCACCTCCATCCACGCGGGCCCAGCGGAGCAGAGCAGGGCGGGGCGGGGGCTTGCAAGAGCTAGGGGGCGGGGCCTGGGCGGCGGGGGCGGGGCCTTGGTGGCGAGGGGCGGGGCATGCGCCGTGACGCAGCACGCTGGCCGCCGCCTGGTCCCTGGAATGTGCGTGCGCGCAGGGACGCCGCCAGCGCCGCCGCCGAGTCACGTCCGCGCGGAGCATGCGCAGTCGGCGGCCCCGCGCCCACGTCATGCGCCCGCCTGGGACCTACATAAGGGGCCCGGCGCTGGCGCCGCGAGCACCGGCGCTCGGGGGGGCCAGGCCAACGGAATGCTGTCTTCCTGCGCCCCCGCCTTCCGGAAGGTCCCAGACTAGGGGACATCCTCCTTCCTGTGTTAAGAAAACTTGGGGCTCGGCGGCGTGTGTCCCCCCCCCCCCGAACCCCCGAGACACACATGCGAGTGTAAAGCACCACCACCCAGCAGTCCAAATGCAACTCCTCCTACCCCGGGGGCGCCACGCTGCTGCCTCCGGGCAGCCGGGGCGCAGAATGGCCACCCTTTTAAAACGCGGGGTGATGAGCATGATGTTTCCCCCAAAAAAAAACGGGCCGGGAGGGGAAAGCGCGATCGAGGTTGGCGGCGGCTGGAGACACGCAGCCCCGCGCGGGCGGAGCGGGTTCTCCCCGCGGCGCTGGGGCTGCGCGCGGGGGCGGGGCGGGCGCGGGGGCGCGCGGGGCGGGCGGGCGGGCGGGCGGGGCGCGCGCCGGGCGGAGGGGAGGGGGCCGCGCAGGCGCCGTGCGGGGCTGTCGAAGAATCGAGCCCGTAGAAGTGGGGCGGCGCGGCGGCGGCGCGGCAGCAGCAGCCCCGGCGGCGGCGCAGCGGCGGGCGGAGCGCGGAGAGCGCGCGCTGGAGAGCGGCGGCGGCGACGCCCGGAGCGGAGGGAGCAGCGCAGCGACCGGGGCCCGGAGCACCGCCTGCCCGCCGCCGCCTCCTCCTCCTCCTCCTGCTGCTGCTGCTGCTGCTCGGCGCGGCATGCCTCGCCGCTCGGGCTGAGCCTGCCCCCGCGGCCGGCCCCCGCCCCCAGGCCTCCCCGCACTCCGCCGCCGCCGCGACCTGCTGCGCTCGCCCGCGCCCGCGCGGCCCGTCTTCGCCCCGGTCTGGAGGCCCGCCGCCCCGGCCGAGCCCCCGCCAAGGCCGCCGCGCCCGCCGCCGCCGCCGCCGCCCGCCCGCGCCCGCGCCCGCCGCCGGGGCGCCGTGCTGCCGCGCCTGCAGCCGCTCGCCCCGCGGGCCCTGCCGCCGCCGCCGCCGCCGCCGCTGGAGGTGGTGGGGGAGCCGCGGGGTTGGGGGGGCCGGCGGGCGCGCGCGGGCCCGGGCGGCGGCGGCGCGGACATGGCCGCGGCGGTGGCGGTGGCGGCCGCGTCCCGGCGCCAGTCGTGCTACCTGTGTGACCTGCCCCGCATGCCCTGGGCCATGCTCTGGGACTTCACGGAGCCCGTGTGCCGCGGCTGCGTCAACTACGAGGGCGCCGACCGCGTGGAGCTGGTCATCGAGGCGGCGCGGCAGCTGAAGCGGGCGCACGGCTGCTGCCCCGAGGGCCGCTCCCCGCCCGGCGCGCCGGTGCCCGCCGCCGGGGCCTCGGCTTCCGCCGCCATCGCCGCCTCCAAGCCGCCGCCGCCGCCGCCGCTGTCGGCCAAGGACCTGCTGCTGCAGCCGCCGCAGCTCGGCCCGGAGGCGGCCGCCGCGCGCGCCCCGCAGGCGCTGGAGCGCTACCCGCTGGCGGCCGAGCGCCCGCCGCCGCGCCTGGGCCTCGGCCCCGCGGACTTTGCCGGCTCCGGGGCCTCCCGATCGGGCCTGGCGCCGCCGCCGCCGGGGACGGTGAACGGCATCCTGGTGCCCAACGGCTTCGCCAAGCTGGAGGAGCCGCCCGAGCTGAGCCGCCAGAGCCCCACGCCGCGCCGCGGCCACGCCGCGCCGCCCACGCTGGTGCCGCTGGTGAACGGCGCGGCCGCGCTGGGGCTCGGGGGCCGCGCCTCCGCCGCCGCCGCCGCGGCCGCCGCCGCCTCCGCCGCGCTGGTCGCCGTGTCCGGCCCCGCGGCCGGCGGCCTGGGCGCCGCGGAGCTGGCCGTGCACAAGCGGCCCGCGTCCGTGTCCGGCGAGCACGAGCCCCGCGAGGCCGCGGCTGCAAAGGACAAGGCGCCGCCGCCGCCGCCCGCGCACCGCGGCCCCGCCGACGGCCTGGGAGCCTCCGGGGCCGGGGCCGGGCCCGCGGAGCTGGGGTCCGAGGCTGCAGCAGCGGGCAAGGGCCGCGCGCCCCCCCCCGGGGACCAGGACTGGGTGTCGCGGCCCAAGACGGTGCGGGACACGCTGCTGGCGCTGCACCAGCACGGCCACGCGGCCGCCTTCGAGGGCAAGTTCAAGAAGGAGCCGCCGCTGAGCGCAGGCAGGTTGCTGGGGTTCGAGGCCGGCGGGGCCAGCGGGTCGAAAGCAGGTAGGGGTTGGCCGTGGGGGAGGGGGAACGAGGGGGACCCCGGCTAGGGGTGCAGGGCCGGGGGGAGGGGACCCAGGGCTGCAGCGCAGGGGGGTGGAGTGGGGGGGAGGCTCTTTGCATTCACATCTGCACCCCCCCTCCCCGCCAAAGCCTCAGCCTCAGCCCAGAAACAACAAACAGGCAGCTTCCTGCTGGCCCCGCGGAGGGAGGGAGGGAGGGAGGGAGGGAGGCTCCCTGTGCTTGTGCTGAAGCAGCACAACGGGGATGAGTCAGGCCGGGCCTGACCCCGGGGTTCCTGGAGCAGCTGGGCCCCAGGCACCTTTTGCATGGTGGGGGGGGGGGGCAGGAGGGGGAGCCTTCAAACCCCCCCCCCTCCCCCCGGCCACAGGTCACACCGGGGACAGGCGTGCAATTGGGTAAAAATAGGCAGGCACCCCCCATGGGCCAGTGTCTGTGGCTTTTTATTTTGGTTTTCTTTTTGAGACTTTAAAATATTTTTTACTTATTGCTTTTTTAAATGTCAGTTCCGCTTATTTAGACATTCCTTGGTGGCTTTCTGTGGCTTCTTAAAGGAGCTGCTGCTGCAGAGCCAGCCCCGGTTACGGGTGCGTGTGTGTGTGTGTGTGTGTGTGTGTGTGTGTGTATGTCTCTCTGTGTATGTCTGTCTGTGTGTGTGTGTGTCTGTGTGTGTGTGTGTGTGTGTATGTCTGTGTGTGTATGTCTCTGTGTGTCTATGTCTCTGTGTGTGTATGTCTGTCTGTGTGTGTGTATGTCTGTGTGTGTGTGTGTGTGTGTGTGTGTGGTTGCACACGTGCACTGGGAACTCACATGGTTTCTTGGCTGCAGGCTCGCCCAGGGTAGAGGTGCTTGGGGGAGCCGTGTTTTGCATCAGAAAAAAGATCCTTTTGGGAGAGTGTGTTCATTTATTTATTTTTTCTCTCTCTCCCCTCCTCCTCTCTCCCTCCCCCCTTTTTTTTACTTGGTGGTCGCTTTCAGTGGCCAGAACAGCGAGGAAAAGGAAGCCCTCCCCGGAGCCGGAAGGGGACGTGGGGCCCCCGAAGATCAACGGCGAGGCCCAGGCGTGGCTGTCCACGTCGGACGGGCTCAAGATCCCCCTGAACTCCACCTCCTCCTCCTCCTCCTTCGTGTCCCCGCCGCCCCCCACCGCCTCGCCCCATTCCAGCCGCACCACCACGCCGCCCGACGCCGCCGCCCAGAACGGCCAGTCGCCCATGGCCGCCCTCATCCTGGTGGCGGACAACGCGGGGGCCAGCGGCCACGCCCCCAAAGATGCCAGCCAGGTCCACTCCAGCAGCGCCCGCCGGAACAGCACCAGCCCGCCCTCGCCGTCCGCCGTGAACCAGAGAAGGCTGGGGGGCCCCCGGGAGGCGGGGGGCACGGGCGGGGGCGGCCTGGAGCCCGCGCCCCCCGCCGGCCTCCCGGACTCCTCGCTGGCGGCCGGCGCCCCGCTGTGCTGCACGCTGTGCCACGAGCGGCTGGAGGACACCCACTTCGTGCAGTGCCCCTCGGTGCCCTCCCACAAGTTCTGCTTCCCCTGCTCCAGACAGAGCATCAAGCAGCAGGGCGCCAGCGGCGAGGTGTACTGCCCCAGTGGGGAGAAGTGCCCGCTGGTGGGCTCCAACGTGCCCTGGGCCTTCATGCAGGGCGAGATCGCCACCATCCTGGCCGGCGACGTGAAAGTGAAGAAGGAGCGGGACTCGTGACTGCCCGGACTGTGTCTCTCTCTCCATCTATATATATATACAAACATATATATATGTCTCTCTCTCCGAGACAAGGGGAAAATGTAGACTTCATCAACATGGGTGTATAATTCCGATTTCTTTTTTTTTTTTTTGGAATACATTGTGTTTCTATATATATATATATATTTTTTTTTTTTTTTTTTTTTTTTTTGACAACGACAGGTATGTACTTATTCGAGGCATTTCCTCCTCACGTGACCGTTCCTCGCCGCGCTCTGTGCGTCCCGATCCCGGTGACAGGGACGACCGTCCGTCCGGTGTAGGCTGTGACTCTCTCGCTGCTTTGTTAGAGCACTTGGCAAACCCCCACCCCCCCAGAACCGCTTCTAGCCGTGATGTGTGATGCACTTACTTTAAAAAGGAAAGAAAGAAAAAAAAAAAAAAAGCCGAACACATCCTCTGACGGCATAAGATTGGCCTTACTGTCTGTCATTCCGTGTGGCTGGCCCCCGTCTCAGGCTGGAGGCCGACGGGGGGAGGAGGAGAGGGAGTGAGGGAGATGGCACCGCTGTGAGGCGGGCACACCACCCCTGGGCAGCCCCCCAAAAAAACCCGCTGTCCCCCAGAAAGGAAAGGGGAGGATGGATGGTTGTGAGTCTTGTCTTTGTTTTGCTTTTCAAGTTCTCGGTTGTTGGTTGAGATGTTGAGGATTCTGCCTGGGGGTTGAGGACTCTGCCTGGGGGTCGGGGGTTGCTGCTGAGAGATTTTGGGGGGGGACGGTGTGGTTTGGAGGGAGCCTTCTCCATATTGTTTAAGGCCACGTTGGCCACGGCTCCCTCGCTGCCCGCGCCATCAGTTGTGAGGTTTCTGACGCTGCATGCTCGTCGGTTACATAACAGCCGGTGGCGGCAGGCGCTGTGCAGATGGCACTGCCATCTCCCCCGGGGCCTGGCACCGCCTCCTTGTAAACACCCCGGGCTCAGCTCTGCCCTTGGGAATCGTGGCCGTAGGGATCCCAGTCCCAGTGAACTCTCGGAGATGATGGCAGGGGTTGGTTTCGTTTCTGGTCTGTGTTGTGTTTTGTTGCGTTTTTTTTTTTTTATTATTATTATTATCGTTCACCTGTAGCTGTCGTTGATAGCATCACCCACAACCCCGCCTCTTGCAGCCAGCCCTGGTGCAGACGGAGCCCCAGCGCCCGGTGACGGCCCAGCGGGGGGCGGGGGACCTGTCACTTCCTCTGACCTGTGGAGGAGAACACGGTCCTCTGGGGAGGGGGGGAGGGTAACCCCGGACATCCAGATGTTTTCCCCGCAGGCCCCTCCTCGCAGCTCCTCCCAGAGCCTTTTGTAAACTAATTTCTTTTCGTCACTACTTTGCATCCGTGAAATGATTCTTTTTTTTTAAAAAAAACACACACACACACAACAAATCACCCGGGAATAGTAGACGTAGTTGTCTCCCAGCGATGCTGGTTTTTCTCTCTCTCTCTCTCGTGCGGTGTTCACCATCCCTAGAGGCCCTTTGATGTTCAGGTGCGTGTCGCTGGCCCTGACGTCGGGCTGGATCATCGTGTTCCAGGTCTGTTGACAGCCTCGCGTGGTGGTGTGTGTGTCCACAGCCCGGCTGCTCCCTGCATCGGAGCACATGGTTGCTAGCTACCCCCTGGGGGTTCTTTTTCCGTCGATGTATTTTCTGTCTTTGGGAAAGTGCTCAAAACAAAACAACACACAAAAAAATTTTTTTTTTTTAACGGTCGGGTTATCAGGAACCCTTACAAAATAACAAAACAGATACTGCGCCAAATACAGTCTCTTTCCCCCCGTCGTTTTTAACGCGTGCCCCCTTCTTGCTATTATTGTGCAGATTCGTTCGTTTCCCAAGGCCTTGTGAGACGGCCAGCAGACTTGCATGCTCAACAAGTTTGTTTCTTCTCCTTTTTTTTTTTTCTTCTTCAAGTCGGAGTAGCTATGACTCAGACCCAACCGGCTTCTCTTATGTAACGTCCGCAGGCGGGCAGCCTGTGTCCCTCAGAGACGCGTGCAAAGAATCCACACGACGGTGGCCTGTTGTATAGACGTGGACCCGGGCGCTTGATCCCCAGCTGGAGTTTGAGCTCAGAGATGGTACACGTCGCTCCAGCCGGCGTGTGACCTAATTTGTGGGAGCTATCTGTTATGGTTTGCAATCTCGACACAGATAAGCTTAAAAAAAAAAAAGAAGAATGTTCTAGAATGTTCTAGAACCGTCCTGCTGCTGTTCTGTGTCCGTCTATCCAGCTGTGGAAAAGACAGCCTGTGGTGGTTTTTTTTTTTTTCCTGCTGATGGTGAACGGGGTGTGGGGGTGGGGAAAGACAGCCAGCAGCCTGTCGGGGCTGTGTTTGGATGGAGGTGACGCCCCATTAAAAAAAATAATAATAAGATTTGCATGAGTCTGCCTGGCCCCTGGGTGGCCTCTGCGGGAGACTGGCAGCTGGAAAGTGTTGATCGGAGGGGTTATTTTTCTGGCTTTCCGTGAGAAATTAAAAAAAAAGGTTGACACGGGGACAAGGGTCTGATCTGTTGTTCTACCTGATGACAGTCTAGTTTTCCACAGCTGGATAAAAAAAAAAAAAATGCCTGCGAGCTACTCAGATGTCAGATTCTAATGTTTCAGATGTGCTTGGAATACCCAAAATATTACGGGATTTTATTTTACTTTTTTTTTTGCTTTTCTGATTTATAGGATTTCCCAGATGTACCCTTTCGTGGCCTCACGTTAAACGTTATGGGAACGTTCCCGTGGTTTATAGCTTTTCCTCAATACCCCTTCCCGGGCCACCGCGTATTTTTAAACGTGTGCCACCTTTGAACCTTGACTTTGACGTTGAAGGTGATATTATTACCTTTTTTCCTCTCTGTGATGCAACTCCTGTCAAACCGAAGTGCGTGTGTACTCTTCCTGCTATGACCATGATTATATTTTCAAAAAAAGAAATCACGCTGTGGAACTGGCACCCGCGTTCTGTCTTTTGTCAGATTTTCAGTACCTTTCCCCCCCCCCCCCTCTCTAACGTTTAGCATTAAATAAAAATAAAATTGGGAGCACTGAACATTTTCCGAGGCCTTTTTTTTTTAATTTTTTTTTTTAAAGGGAGGTTAGACCACGGCTGTTGCTTTCCCATCACCAATGGCAGGAGGGCTCAGGATGTGGGGGTTGGAGGGTTTAGGGGGTCGGGGTTTGGCTGGAACTGCAGGGCAGAGAGAAAAAGACACAACAAAAAGGCATCTGAGGGTAGAAAAATAAGGGGGGGCGGGGGAAGGCAGGGACTGGGGAAAGGGCCACTGGAGAGAGGGCCCAGGGCCAGAAAACTCTGTTTATTGTTGGACTTGCAAGGAGCCAGCCCTCGGCAGTGACGGCATAGCAAACACTGTCAGGACATGAGCTCTCTCGCTTTCTGGGAAACAGCCCTGTGGGGCCAGAGGAAATGCCCTGAAGGCAAAAGAGAAAGAAAGAAAGAAAGAAAAAAAGCTCACCCTTTGGAAAGTTCTGAAATAGGGTCAGGGCCCACGTCCTGCAGGAGGTTTACGGATATGGCGAAGCCGGCGTGCCTAGAGGTGAAAGGAGGTACGTGCGCAAACCACTGCACTCCACTGTCCCTTACGAGATTCCTGGGCGTCTGCAGGTTTGACTCTGTGGATCAGTGGCTTGGCCGGCTCCTCGATGAAAGGAAGTTGTGAAGGAGGAGTCGGAGGACAGGGCGGGTACACACTCGGGCTTAGTGCGTGTTTTAAATTCGACAGCAGCCGGTCCCGTGGCCTGGGATATATTTTCATTTGGAATGGCCCAGGACCTCAAGGGCTCGTCCTTGTATTTTCAGAATAGATGTCGCAGCCCGTGGGAGGCGGTTTTCAAGAAACCGTGTCCTTAAAACAGTTCATCCGCGATCAGGCTACGCGAGGTGCATTTCATAATGGAAGGGAAGCGTTCGACTTTCTGAGCTTGAAGAAAACGCTGGGCCTCGTTTTGAGGTTTGAAATTGAGCGGCTTGTGCAGAAGTCATGTTTGAATTTCAAAAGCCCCTTTCAAAGGACGCTTTCATGATCCGCATCCAGTTTCCAGTTTTTGGGAAACACAAAGCAGACCAGACTGTTGGTGTGGCAGATGTCTTTGTTTATGTCCCGGGGGGGTGTGGGGGGGGGGTTACAGGGGAAATGTGGAGGGCTTTTTTTTGTTGTTGTTTTTAAGACCCTGCTTCCTCCAAGCAGCTTTGCCTCTGACGGATCGACGGCTTTATCGGGTGAGTGAAGAGTGAAAGATCTCTCTTCCTGATTCCAAAGCGCAGTAGACGTGGAGGGACCATTCAGAAAAAACGCTCCGCGGCTGGCAGGCCAGGAGAAGCCTGAGTCACCCTCCCTCGCTCGCCTTTTTCTTTCGGGAACAGCGAGAAGACACGCCTCTCTGTCACAGCCAAGGTCAGAGGCACCGTGAGAGGGACACAGTTACCTGCTTTGTCCGTCCACCCTCCATCCTCCATCCATCCGACCCCTGAGGGGTCGAATTCATGCACTGGGCCTCTAACACACACACACACACACACACACACACACACACACACACACACGAGTGGCCAGATTATTATGTGTTCAGAGATCATCATCATCTGGCCACTCAGTGTCTATGTACCCTGTTTCCCGAAAATAAGACAGTGTCAGGGGATGTCTGATTTTTCCATGTAGAAGAATACGGTACACATTTATTGTGAAATGAAAATAAAGGAAATGTATTACCTGTATACGGTACGGTAGTACAGTCGTTGTCAACACAAACCAGACAGACTGTGAATCCTACAGCATCAAGAATGTACTCATTTATTCAATGACAGTCATGTCATCCTCTTCTGGAACATCATCATCACAATCCAATTCCTGAATTTCCTGGTGAATTTCTTGGGACTCCATTTCTTTCAGAATCAGTGGACCAAATCTCTCATGTTTAGCCTGGGGGGGGGGGGGGGGCCTTATATTTCACTCAGAAGGAAACCTGTAAGTAGGTCTTATTTTCGGAGGATGTCTTATTTTCGGGGAAACACGGGGGGCGGGGTGTGTGTGTGTGTGTATATCTATCTATATATAGATATATAGATATATAGATATATAGATATAATTGATTTCAGAGAGAAACATCCATAATGAGAGAGAGTCCTTGATCGGCTGCCTCCTGCACCTCCCACCCTGGGGATCAAGCCCACAACCCAGGCCTGTGCCCTTGACCGGGAATCGAACCGTGACCTCCTGGTTCATAGGCTCAACCTGCAAACCAGGCCAGCCACACCACGGAGCCACGCTGGCCGGCATAACACAACCTTGAGGGGGAAAAAACCAATTTGGAAAAATGCAGACTAGCCCTTTAACACTCAGATTCCTAGCGTATTCCGTCTTCTCCGGGTGGTAACGTGCAGCACACAGTCAGCCCTGAGCTTTTTCCCCCCGGGGCAGCCCTCCCCCCAGGTGACTTTTCCCCCCGGGGCAGACGAGGTCAGGAGGCGAGACGCATTCCTGTGGACACTGCAGGCTGAGGCTCGATTGCATAATCTGCTCAGCCTCCCAGCCGCGCAGAAGCCCTTGATGCTGAGATAAGACAGATCCCGCCTAGAGTAACCGTGTCACATTTGAATATTTCTAAATATAGTTCCTATGGGGGGGAGGGGGGGATGAGCTGTGTTATATAATCTGTAGATCCCATCTCTTGCTTTTATTTAGTAATGACTGCATCGTTACCACCCGCTCCCATTCACACGCCCATGAGGGGCAGGCCTCCTGCACAGGAGGCGTAGGGGTTGTTGGGTGTTTTTTTTAAATATATATAAATACATATATTTAAATATATTTTATTGATTCTTTGCAGAGAGGAAGGGAGAGGGATAGAGAGCCAGAAACATCGATGAGAGACAGAGAAACATTGACCAGCTGCCTCCTGCACACCCCCTACTGGGGATGTGCCCGCAACCCAGGTACATGCCCTTGACCGGAATCGAACCCGGGACCTTTCAGTACGCAGGCCGACGCTCTATCCACTGAGCCAAACTGGTTTCGGCTTGAGGTTATTGGTTTTTTTGTTTTTGTTTTTGTTTTTTTAATATATTTTTATTGATGTCAGAGAGTAAGGGAGAGAAAGAAAAACATCAATGATGAGAGAGAATCGTGGACCGGCTGCCTCCTGCACACCCCCCCCATCGGGGATGGAGCCCGCACCCGGGCCTGTGCCCTGACCGGGAATCGAACCCTGTCCTCCAGCTTCCTAGGTGGGCGCCGGCTGGGCAGGGGTCGGGTTTTGATTATGTGCTCAGGGAGACAGGGGGCAACTGTGGCCAATAAGGCTTTAGGTCGCTGCCTATTTCTCTGCTACTGAGAACACAGCTTTCCTACAACCTACATAGGACGCACGTATGTGCCCTTGGCTGGAATCGAACCTGGGACCCCTCAGTCCCCCGGCCTTGAACAGCCGTAGTCAGTGAGGTGCACGCACAGCACCTGGGCTCTGGCGCAGAGGGTCCGCCCCAGGCGGGCATGTCTGTGTGCTGAGCAGGAGCCCAACTCCCAAGAGAACCTTCTCCCCAAACCCCAGAGCCTCCTCCCAGCACCTGCCCCGGGAGGGACCCGGGCTGGACCCCGTCCCGCGCGGGGTCTCAAGGCCAAGGTAAGGTCCTGCGCCAAGATCCCTCCGCGCGCGCGCGCGCCTGCCCATCAGGCTGGAACCGTTATCTCGGACACAAACCAGGGCCAGCGGCAGACACCCGGAGGTAAGGCGGGTCCAGACGATCCGTTGTAGCTTTTTCTGTTTCTGCTTCCCCTTGTGGCTCGGCGCGGCACTTTTAAAAGGAAGAAACCCGCTGCCCCGCGTGCCCCGGGGAAGGGAAGGGAAGGGGAAGAGGAGGGAGGCCCTGGCGGTATCCAGCGCCCAGAGGCCCTGCGCTCCCGCCTCCTGGGCTGGCTGTTTGGAGAAGTTTTCCTGGGCAACCCTAGCCCACTCTGCGCCATTGGGGGCCCCCGGGAACCCCGCCTGCACCGCTCCCACCACCCCAACCCCTGCGTCCAGGCGGGGCCCCCAGTGCCAGCCCGGCCTGCGCAGCTGACACCGCTGCTATAATTAGGGGGCCGGCCCGCCGGACGTGGAGGCCCCGGGCCTGCCCGGCGCAGCTGAACCAAAGAAAGGAACAAAGGCAGAGCCCGGCTCCTGGTGAGGCCCAGGCCTAAGCCCTGCGCCCCTGTGGCCCAGAAAAGATCAAAGAGGCGGGCGTCATGGCCACCCAGCCACCCGGCCCGCCTGGCAGGGCGTGCAGGCCGAGAAGTTGGAGGCCCAGGAAGAGCTGCCCCCAGTGTCACTCCCTTTTTGGAAATGGGGCTGCTGCTTTATTATGTATGTATTTATTTAAATATATTTTATTGATTTTGCACAGAGAGGAATTGAGAGAGACAGAGAGCTAGAAACGTCGATGAGAGAGAAACATCGACCAGCTGCCTCTTGCACACCCCCCA